GAATTTCCTCATTTCCCAATAGCTAGTCCATCATGACAGAGTGTCTGATGCTAACATGAGCCATTTATTCCTTTCTTACAGCTTCCTTTTATACTCCACTTCTACTCAAACCTTTTTTTTTTTCCCATAAAGGCTACAGTGACAATTTTTCAGAGACTTCTCTGCTCCCTGTCCCATGGAAAAGGGCACGGTGGCATTGATCTTTGAGCTATCCTAGCATGCTGGCTCTGCAGCCTCACAGCTAAAGATGCAAAACGTGTCCTCTACCCTAAGGACCCTGTGAGGCTCTCCAAGCTGTGACATTGTCGAGGCGAGGCGAATCTGGCCACGACAAAACTAAAAAGATAAACAAGTACAGAGAAAGAAACAATGCTACATGGTTCCAGGGGTGAAAAAAACATTTTCAAAGAAAATGCTTGGAATACATAAATCAAAGCAAACGGGTATTTCTGCAAGATTCCCAGGAGCTCAGGCCCTCGACAAGACTAAAAGTAATCAATAAATTCTCCGCCATAATCTTTAGGGCCAGAATGTTAGATCAGACTGCGTGTAACCACTGATGGAAAGGGAGAGGTCTCCCTGGGCCCCTTAGCCTCGTTATTGCTTGCATTTCTTAAAATTATACTGGAATGATAACCCTGCCCTGATGAAGGATGTTCTTACAGCACACAAATAACTCCGTGTGAAGGATGAGTGGCAGCTGCTGAACCAGAGTCAGCCAACTGGCAGGGAAAGCCTCACAGAGGAGGTGAAGCTTTGTCACAAGGACCGCGTCCACACATCTGTATTGTGCATGGATTCTGGAATCCGAACACGATGCTGGAAATCTGGTTCCCTTACTCAACAGTATTGAGTAGTATGGATACGTAGTGTTTAATGTGTCTGAACCCCACTTCATCTGTGCAATGGGGGTTCTGAAATCAATCCTCAGGAAGGGTCCCTATGAGTCACATCCTCTGTGTCAATAAGAGTTTCATTAAGTTGGCACACTGTGTTAGAACTCTTCTTGCATGAGTTGGGAAGATCAGATGGCAGCAGAGGAAGGACACCAAACTGGGCTACTTAGTAAACATAGACTCTTAAACTAATCCCAGAGGCTGCTATGTTGTTTGCAGGTCCCCGGTGCAACATGACATTAACTTTATCCAAAATTTGTTTTGAAATCCCAAGATGGAGAGAGCAGCACCTTGAACACAGTGCAGAGCCTGTGCTACTGTCCCTGTGGCACCCTTGGGAGTAGCCGGGATTAGTGAGTCTTTATCCTTTGGTCAGAACCTCCATTTCTTCAGAACCCAGCAGGCTGAAGGTTAGTAGCAAGAGCAATATGCTAAGAAAAACATTGAATAGCTCTCATCTGACCATCACAGGCGTTTTTCCCAGCCTCCCCAGGGGGCCTCCTTAGACAAACAGCAGCTGACATGTTAGCATACATTTCAAAAAACAAATTATAATGATACTTAGGGGTGTCAATTTATGATAACTAATCTTCCATAGCAAGCAGAAGCAAGCTTCCTTTGAGTCAAATAAGAGTACAATAAAAATCTTTTCTCATTTGCTCATAGGGTTTTTGCTTGTCTTTCATTATTTCCCAGAGTGTCAAATTAGTTAGGGGCTAGTGCCATGTTTTAAGTCTTCTTCTTAAGGTAGGAATGATCTCTATAGATGTATCATCAATAAAAATACCAACGTCAACATAAACAGAAATACAAACTGTGCACTGAGCTTCAATCACCTCCTCTCTAGAAGAGGAACCCGTAAAGCACAGACTCGCATAGATCCACTTATTTAAGCAAACGATTGTTCAGTGAGGAGTTGTACTGGAAGAATTACCATCTGTAATTCCCAAGCGCCGATCATCTGTCGAGCATAGGACTCTGTGAGTGTTAAAGAAATTGCCCTTAAATGCATATAACACATAAGAGAAAAATTTGGGGGGGGGGAAAACCCTTATTATCCATTAAAGCATTTTAGGGCCTCATTAATTCAGATGGGATAATCAGTTGTTGATTAGCCAGGTTGTTAAGCATCTATTGTCAGATGCTGATGAGGTGTGAGAAATTACATTCCTTATCACCAAAGAGTCCCCTGAATGTGGTTATCACTTCATCAGGTAAGGCTATCTTCTGGGGATAAATTAGCTGCATTTTGATCCCCCAGTCTGTTCGTCCATCTTCCAAACGTTTCTGTATTTCAAAGCATTCCTCACTTGGCGTGCTTTTTCTTGCCTGTCTAAAGGTCCCAAACTATGTTGGGAGCTCTTTTCAAAAGCTAGATGGTTTACACCTTGGTCCCATTTGCGCCCAGGCCTCCACGATTTAAGGACATGGATTGTTTGGTTGGTGTTGACTTTTACAGTTCTTCCTGAGAACCTCCTGTACACCTTCAGTCCTTCAGCTCCAAATGACCTTTAGATTATCAAGGGGATTCTTCAGTCAATACCCTGAGTCTCAAGTTCCTTTCCAAAACTTGACTGCGAGAGTAGTCTAATAGCAGTGAGCAAAGTAAGAAAATCCCTTGGATTAGTGATGGGAACATGTGGTCCCGCGCCCTGGTTCTGCTTTAGTCTGGGAGTGACTGGCACTAGAAAACAACTCTCAATTTCAACAAGTCTTTTAATTTCGTGGCAGTTTAGAATTTTTTTCTCCATTTACCAAATGAGCATCACTCCTCTGTATTTTTTTTGGTTCATACCAGTTGAGGGCATATTTCTGGAAAGACTGAAAAGGTTCCCACGTTTTTAATAGACATTCTAAGCTAAGAGGAAAGGGTGTTTCCAGACAGAAACTATAGCCTTGGTCGAATCTCCAGGGAGGGTTCTCATGTTACTCACGGAACTTCTGTAGATGGTCAGTGCTGTTTGACTCAGGCATAGCTGTGATGGTCACCAAGGGACAGGGGTTCCCTCCCACAGTCTGGCAGAGGACCTCTTGCTGGAAGTAGACATGCTTGGGGTTGACACTTTTCTCCAGTATGTCAAGGTGAGTCTGGACAGAATGAAGCAGAATTATAGATTATTAATATAATCATATTTATGAATAGTTTGGGTATAGCAATAATAGGCAACTGTTTAATCTCTTATGTTTTAGAAATATTTTTTTGTTAAGCTAATCTAACAAACTGTGACCATGAAATGATGCAACTGTGTCTCATGGTACCTAAACAGCCCTGGTTACACAATAGTTAAGTCCCCAGCTGCTGAGTGAAAGGCTGGTGTTTCAAACCCATCAGGCACTCGCTCAATGGGAAAAAATGTAGTAGTCTCTTCCTTAAAGATTTACAACTTTGGAGACCCTGGTGGCCAGTTCTACTCTGTTCTACTGGGTCATTGGGAGTTAGAATCAACTCAATAGCAATAGGTTATTGATAATTAGGAGAAGTCCAATGGTGCCAAACAAGAAGCATCGCTCCTGTAAGTTTTGGCATGCCAAAGTAAAAGACTTGTTTTCAAGAGGCAGTGAAACTAAGAGGACAGGTAGGCAAAGCATTCTTTCTCTCACCACGGTATATGAAAACTGTGATTACCATGAAGATTAAGCATGACCGGAGAACTTGGAAGCATGACCTTGAGAATGTCAGAAGCAGATACGTAGTTCTTTGAAATTAAGTGAGCAGTAGTAGTCCACTGGGTCATTTGCTTTCCACTGTCTTTCATCAGGGCCACAAACCTACCTTAGAATAACTAGAACCAGTACAAGTTACCTTTGAATTAACTCTAATTTACCACAACCCCATGTGTGTCAGAGTCGAACACCATACTATTTGCAATGGCTAGTTTTTCCAAAGTCTATAGCCAGGTCTTTATTCTGGGACTGGAACCCCCAACCTTTCAGTTAATAGCCAAGTGGATTAACTATTTTCCCCACTCAGAGACTCCTGAGAACAAGCACCTGGAAGCAATTGCCTTTGTTTTACCATATCTTCCCATGTAGATCCTCAGCCCAAAAGAAAGAAAACCCAAACACAGAAATATACACACATGGAATAGCTATTGGACTCTTGGTCCAAATATTGTAAGACTCTAAAGATATTCTCAAGAGACGTAAGAAATATCTTCAGGTATAAAGAATGAAATAGCTTTTCTCCCTCTCAGCTGCATACTCTGACAGAGAAGACACAGTAACCAGATCTGAGAAAGAAAGATTGTTTCTCCCCAGCACCTGGAGAGCTGTACACCAAAATTAACGTTTTAGCTTAAGATCTAAACTTTCCAGCACAATTGTGTACATATTAACAAAGCCAAGGAGAAACTACCCACATTGTTTGTTGATAAATTACAAGCATGCTAGACAAATGGAAGAAAAACAAACAAACATAAATCCTATCAAAATATCTTAGCATAAAAAAGGGGAGTAGTGCCCTCAAAAGGCAGAAGAAGAGTTTACATGTGAAGAAGATTTATGGCAGGTGTGGTAGGCAAAATAATAGCTCTCAAAGGTAGTCACTCATTAATTTTCAGAACTTGTGAATAACCAACCTTATAAGACAAAATGAACTTTGCAGGTATGCTTGAAATTAAGGAGTTTGAGGTGGGGCGATATCCCACACTATCCACTTGGACCCAATCTAATCATGCTGTTGTTATGTGCTGTCAACTAATTTTTGACTCGCATGATAGAGTAGAACTGGCCTTATAGGTATTCCTAGGCTATAATACTTACAGAAGCAGAATACTTGCTTTAAGCATCAACTTTCAGCAACCAAGAGCTCAACCATTGGGCTGCTAACAGCAAAGTTGGCATTTCAAACCCACCACATTCTTCATGGCAGAAAGATGAGGCTGTGTGCTCCCCTAGATGTATAGTCTTAGAAACCCTAAGGAGTACCTGTACCATGTCCTATCATGTCCTTCAGAGTTTGGATCAGCTTGATGCACTAAGCTTGGTTTGTTAGTTTCTTGTAGCTGCAGAGAATCAGAGAGATGGCAGGAGTCAATTTTCTCTTCCTAGCTCTAAAGATGGAGGAATAGCTGTAGTAAAGCCAAAGCCCCACTCCTAGCCCCCAAATACAGACCACCTTTCAAAGCTGGAAAAGGCAAGAAAATAATTCCCTGCCAGCTTGGCCAGGAGGAACACAGCTGTGGTAGTTGTGTAGTCATTTGTCAACTTGAGGTTGAAGAGTGAAGGGGTGGAGTCTAGCCTGTCAATTGGGTCACAGCCAATGAGGCCTCCATGGGCATGGCCTCACCTGAGGATTCTGGGAAAACTCTGGTATTTCCTTCTGGGAGGTGGGAGAGACTCTCGCTCACTATTTCACTCCCTCAGAGACACTCTACTGACAAGACACTTGGAGAGAAGCTGAGGGAACCAGACCTCTGGAGCCAGAGAAGCCATATAGAGTTCCCTGCCAGCGCTGAGATGCTTACACCACCACTGGATCCAAAGACCGTCTACCCACTGGCCTGTGATCATCCTGCACTCGGCACCATTGCATGTGTTTCGTGAGTCTGAAGAGGATTTTATATATTGATATCAGACATATGGGCTAATATTGGACTTATGGACTTGATCTGGACTGGGTTGGGATGTTTTCTTTCTTTCTTTCTTTTTTTAATGGTTAAATTTTTTTTAATCATTTTATTGGGGCTCATACAATTCATCACAATACATAGATCAATTGTGTAAAGCATACCTATACATTTGTTGCTCTCATCATTCCCAAAATTTGCTTTCCTCTTGGGTTCCCGGATCAGCTCATTTTTCTTTTTTTCCCTCCCCCTCCCTTCCCACTCCGCCCCCCCATGAACCCTTAATAATTTATAAATTATTATTATATCTTATATTACACTACCCGGCGTCTCCCTTCACCCACCCCTCTGCGGCACGTCCCCCAGAGAGGAGGTTATATGTAGATCCCTGTGATCAAGTCCCCCTTTCTAACCCGCCCCCTTCCCTCCTTTGTATCGCCACTATCACCCCTGGTCCTGAGGGGTTCATCTGTCCTAGATTCCCTGCATTTCCAATTCTCATCTGTACTGCTGTGCATCCTCTGTTCTAACTAGGTCTGCAAGGCAGAATTGGGGTCATGGTAGTTGGGGGGAGGAAGCATTTAAGAACTAGAGGAATGTTGTAGGTTTCATTATTGCTATACTGAACCCTGAGTGACTCATCTCCTCCCCAATGCCCCTCTGCAAGGTATGTCCAGTTGTCTAGAGATGGGCATTGGGTCCCCATCACGCGCCACCCTCATTGACGAGGATATGATCCCCCCACCGCCTTTGGTGTTTGAAGCCTGGTCCCTTCGGCCCTTCATGATCACACATGTTGGTGTGCTGCTTCCATGTGGGCTTTGTTGCTTCTGGGCTAGATGGCCGCTTGTTTACTTTCAAGCCTTTAAGTCCTCAGACGCTATAGGTCTCAATAGCTGGGCACCATCAGCCTTCTTCACCACACTTACTTATGCACACATTCACCTTCAGCGTTTATGTGGGGAGGGTGGTCACACAATGATGGTTTTTGTTCTTTGGTGTCTGCTGCCTGATCCCTTCAACACCTCATGTTTGCACAGGCTCGTGTGCTTCTTTTCTGTGGGCTTTGTTGTCTCCAAGCTAGATGGCCGCTTGTTTGCCTACAAGCCTTTAAGACCCCAGATGCTATATCTTTTGATAGCCGGGCACCATCAGCTTTCTTCACCACATTTGCTTATGCACACACCTGCCTTCAGGGAAGGCAGGTATCATGAAATGACTGTTTAGCTGAGCAAGGTGCTCTTGTATTAGGGGAATGCGCATGAGGAGGCCCAATGTCCACCTGCCACCCTACTACCAAACCTATAATTATTTGCACCTAGGTCCGTTCCCCCCTTAATCTTAAATATATTTACATATCTACATGTCTGTATTTAGGCTTGTGTGTATGCCCTTTGCCTCCTACTTCTTTCCTCTATTTCTTTATGCTATCCTCCTGTCCCATTACCATGGTCAGCCTTCATTCTGGTTTCAGTAATTCCTCGCAGTTACCTTGCCCTTGTTTTCTTAATGTACAATTACCCTTTGTATAAAACCCTCTCTTATACACATATGAGTATCTATGGATTTGTTTCTCCAGTCTACCCAGATTAACACAACAGCCCTCCTGTATTACTTTCCCAGTACACTCGTGATGTTCTAGCCCGCCTAATTAACACACAAACAACACAAAACCAAATCCACTGCCTTTGAGGTGATTCAGACTTACAAAAACCACTCCTTGCCATCAAGTGAATTCTGACTCACAGTGACCCTAGAGGAGGGAGTAGAAATGCCCCTATGGGTTTCCAAGGCTACAAATTTCGATGGGAGCAAAAAGCCTGATCTTTCTCCAGCAGAGCTATTGGAGGATTCAAACTGTTGACCTTAATGTTTAGCAGCCCAATATATAACCCACCATGCCACTATAGAGTCCATCCCACCTCCACTTTGTACCAACCCTATAGGCAGAGTAGAATAGTTCCTTAGAATTGTATGTCTATAAATATTTACTGGAGTAGAAAGTCTTGCCTTTATCCAGCGGAGCAGCTGGTGGGTTTGAACCACCAACCTTTCCCTGAAGAGAGATGGTTGTGCCAAGTGAATCGCACCTCACCTGATCACACATCCCTAGTACAGAATGACTACAACAAAGTGCCTGGGAGTCCCGGGACCTTCATTATAACTTTTCTGTGCATGGTGTATCCTTTCTTAGGGCTATATAGATTTGGTTCTGGGCAATGCCTAGTGTTGTGATTTCCAATCTGAACCCAAGCCTATTGCTCTTTGTTGAACAGATTACGAGTTGCACTCTATACATAAGATAATTTTTAAAGTGTGTGTGTGTGTGTTTGAAAATGTGTATAGATAAACCAATGGATGTACTTAGACCTATGCACAAAATTAAGTCTTGGTTCATATTTGTATTGCCTTTTCAAAAGAAGATGCTATAGGTGATGAAGTACTACTTAGAAGCTTTAAAGTAGAAGGAATTACAATCAAATAGACCTCTATCCTGCCAAGTGTTTCTCATAAACACATGCAGCATACCTTCTTACATATGCAAATGCTCGGAAAACATCACATGTCCCAAAATAAAGAATGACTAATGTGTATTACAGAATGCACTCATTACATCCAAGATTGGAGGACAATGTCTCTATGAGAAGTCACGGAGGCTCTAATTATTATTTTAATCCTTGAGAGGAAATTACTATGAATTATTGGAAATGCAAACTTAAAATTGAGTTTTAAATCAAACCTTCTGTAATATATGCATTTTTCACTTTCAAATGACAAATTGTTTTTCTTACCCTGTTCTACTTATTTAGGAGAAATGAAATGGTATCACTTTTTCTTATCTTTTTCTCATTACCTCTTCTGAAAGAGATTCACAGTCAATAAGCTACGTAACAAGCCAATAAGCATCAACTAAGGTCTCTCTTTCTCTGTGACCAAGGGACTGAGTGGCTCCTCTGGGTCTTGTATTTGTGTTCCCTCTTAAGTTCCTATAACCCAAGTCACTCCTAAGCTAACAGAAACTCTAGAGATCTTTCTCTAGTCTGTCAAGGTATCACAACGGTAAATGACTCCCAGAGGCTTGGGTTCGCAGCCAGGTGTGGTCAAATTCTGGGTGGGTTGGTTTCAGACATTGAGTCAACTTGTCAAGCATCTAGCAAGAATCCAACAGAGCATCTTGGGATAAGAATGTAACTATATTTGATGAGAACCAGTGTCCTGCATGTAATTAAACCCACAGCACATTTTTAAAGTTACATAGGAAGACCGAAGATTGATGACTTGAATTTAACTTTAGAGATATCTGTGCAATACACAATCCCATGACTATCTGTGTTTACAGAACTGGACCACATTCTTTAGTGCCTGTTAGGTATAGTCTGAGACACTGATGGTTTGCTGGTAGAATTCTCATCTTCTTCTACGAGGGAGTCCTAAATTCTATTGCCAGCCAATGTACCTCATGAATAGTGACCACCTATCTACTAGCAGATGCTCACATTTTGTTATGATGCTAAACAGGTTTAAGCAGCGCTGTCAGACAAAGCGAGACTAATAAGAAAGGCCCATTGATCTACTGCCAAAACTCAGCCAATAAAAATCCTGTGTTTTGAACAGGACTGAGCAGCATTTCATTTGTTGTGCATGGGGTCACATTACGTCAGAACTGTGATGATTAATATTATATATCAACATGGCCAAGCCAAGATACCCAATATAGTATAATATTCTCCATTTTATACTATGATGTAAGAAATCGCTGCGGCATTACCTAATTATCTACTATTTATGTACAGTAAATCCTAGCTTCTTTATGTTAATAAGGTAGGATTAATGCAGGGTGTATTTTGAGTCCCAGTCTTACAAGAGGTCATGACTCAAGTCATAATCTTACTGAAGAGTCCCCTTACTTCAGTCACACCTTTATTCAGTCACCTTATATAAGGGGAGTTTCCTTAGAGATGTGAATTTCATCAGATAAGATAGATAGATGATTAGATAGATAGATAGATAGATAGATAGATAGATAGATAGATAGATAGATAATAGATAGATGACAGATGGTATGGAAAAGTTCACTCTTGCTCTGGATTCTGCATCATCTGACATCTAGTCCTTGGGACTTAAGCTAGCAGCCTATCTTCTGATCTACTGATTCTAAAATTTGCCGGAAACTATAGCGCAATGAACCAGTAGCCAACCATCGGATCTACTGATTTAGGAATTCATCAGCTTCCACAGGCCCTTAAGACAACAGAATGTCATCCGACATGCTAATAATGAGTTCACCAGACCCTGCACCATGTTAGTTAGTGGAAGCCTCCAGCCTGCAACCTGACCCATTTTTGAGTTGATCACATCCACATCACTGTGATCATTTCCTTAAACTAAATCTCTCTCTTCCCTCTCTCTACATATAGATCTACATATACATACACACAGATTGAGTTTTAAAGATCAAGAATTTTTGAGGACTTTTGAAACTCTCTTGGCTGTATCTGTGCTTGTACACATTTCTCTAATTTTGATTTTCTAGAGGATTCGCCAAAGACAGCAGCTGACAACATAGTATGTGGTAGCAAGTAAGGACACTGCTCTGACCTCAGAGCAGAAATTCTTTTGAATTGTTTCTACAGTGAAATATTTTTTAAACGAAACAAAACCAGGAATAGATGTCAGACATCTGTGCTCTGTTCCCTTCTTGGTCGCTAGCCTCAGTTTTTGCATCTATAATGGATAAAGATGAATTAGACAATGTCCCAGCTCCTTAACAATCAACATCCAGAGTTCTTAGTTTTATACTAGCAGCTACCAAGAATCTTAGCAGGGTCTAAGATATTCTAACAAGAGAAAAGATGGCCAGTCCCCCCAATGGAAAAGACAGACACATAATCTAAAAGGAATTCTCTCCCCCACAACACGTTTCACATGCATGCTTCACAGGCAAAACAATAAAAACAGTTGTTGAGGGAGATCATGAATCTTGCCTGTTCTGTGTCCCTAAAGGCAGCAAACATGTTTTGTAACAAACATGGCTTGTTAGAGCAGAGCTTGTGATGCATATTTCCCAGATTAACTTCTTGAACTCCCTAACTATGATACACAAATAATACTAGTTTTGCATCTTTTGCAATCTGGAAGACAGTACAAATATCTCTTTAGGCGAGACAACATATGGAGAGAAGGATGGATGCACTTTCATGAAACTGTTAGCCAAATGGTTTAAGATATACCTCCTCCATGGAGAAACATTCCAATTCATACCTTAATATTCCTGTTGATGTGAGAGAAACTCTTGGTTATTATATTTTCCAATTCCTTTTCCCAGACTTAAAATCTCTGGCTCAATGATATATAAACATGCATATATATATATATGTACATTATAATATATTAGTAAAAACATGCTAATAACAGGGAAAGTGAATGTGGTTTAGAGAAGACACTATAGTTCATTAATCCTCAGTCTATCTGTGAAATAGCTAGAGGAAATAATGTTCCAACTTCTTTTTTTTTTATCAATTTATTGGGGCTCATAAAATTCATCACAATACATAGATCAATTGTGTAAAGCACATCTAGACAATTGTTGCCCTCATCATTCCCAAAATTCGCTTGCCTCTTGGGTTCCCAGAATCAGCTCATTTTCCTTTTTCCCCCATCCCCCTCCCTTCCTCTGTCCCCCTCCCCCATGAACCCTTGATAATTTATAAATTATTATTTTATCTTATATTACACTGCCCGGCGTCTCCCTTCACCTACCCCTCTGTTGCCCATCCCCCAGAGAGGAGGTTATATGTAGCTCTCTGTGGATCAATTCCCCCTTTATACACCCCCCTTCCCTCCTGGTATCGCCACTGTCACCCCTGGTCCTGAGTGGTTCATCTGTCCTAGATTCCCTGCATTTCCAATTCCCATCTGTACTGCTGTGCATCATCTGGTCTAGCCAGATCTGCAAGGCAGAATTGGGGTCCTGGTAGTTGGGGGGAGGAAGCGTTTAAGAACTATAATGATGGGTCATTAAAAGAGTATGTTACCATGAGGGCTGTATAGGTGTAAGGATAGTGGTAGGCCAGGTAGCAGACATCTTCGTTGTGCGGGAAGGTGATTGAAAAGGTGAGGGTATAATAACACCTCCCAGAAGTTCCTCCTGCGGCAGCTGCACTCAAGCGGTAATGATTTCTAAGTAAGGAAAACAAGGAAGAGGTGAAGGAAGCAGTAAGGGTCCTAGATGTCATGAACCATACATGTCACATCTGGCAAGATGTTCTTCACTCAAAGCAAAAAGTGCTACTGCCACACAATGGAATATTACTCAGCCATGAAAAGAGATGCAGCCCGGATGCATGCTACAACATATAATCCTTGAAGACAATGTGATCAATGAAATAGGTCAGTCACAGAAGGACAACTACTGTAGGATACCATTTATATAAACTAGAATATGCGAGTGCATAGAGATGAAAGATTATTAGTGGATACCAGGGTTCTTGGGGAGGGAGGAATTAAAAATTACTCATTGCTTAATGGATAATGGATATGTGTTAAGGGCAATAGGAAAATTTGGAAGTAAATAATAATGATGGTTGAACAATAGAGTGAACATAATGTCGTTGAATTGTATATGTAAATTTGTTGAATGGCTAGTGTTTTGATGCATATGAATCTACTAACCATAATTTAAAAATTAACAACAAAAATCAATTGGGCAATGACATCTTGAAGAAAGAGAATTGTGCAGGTAAGCTTCCCACCAGGTCCTGACCAAAGCAGCACATTCTTGACTGGGCCATGTGCCTCACAACGATGGCATATAGAGTTGTGCCTTAGCTGTGTCTGAAAATGTAGTCACTGAGTTTGAAGATAAGAAATCAATACTACTCGTTCTACTTCTCTGTGATTCTATTGAAGGAACATACTCGGCACTCAAGTTTGGTTCCTGTAGCTCCTTTTCACCCCCACCCCCCACCCCCACAGTCCCATAGGGTGCTGCACCTTCCTGTTGCTTGAAACTGCAGTATTACAGACCCCCTTCAAACAATATTGTAAGTGGATTTCTTTGTAGTCAGTACTGTACATTGAAGGGCAGTGGAAGCTCGGTGGTAGAATTATTGCCTTCCCTATGGGAGACCCAGATTTCATTCTTGGCCAGTGCACCCAGTACAAGCCAACCTCCGTCTGTCACTGAGAACTATGGGTTCCTATTATGCTGAATGGGTTTCAGCAGAGATTTCAGACTGAGACAGAATAGGACAAAAGGCTTGGCAATCTACATCTGAAAAGACGCCCACAGAAGTCCTATGAAGCCCCATAGTCTGATCCAAAACCAACCATGAGGTGGCACAGAACAGAAGGGCAATTCCTTCTGTGGTGTACTGGGTTGCTATGAGTTGAAGAAAGGTCACAAGCCTATACATGGCAGATACAGGTTTAGAACCCAGATTCGGCTGGCTACAGAGCTTTGTGCTTTCCACTACACAATACCTTCTCCCCAAAGGACTACATTGCTCACCCCCAACCCAAGGTGGTACGTCTTTTTAAAAGTCGAGAGCGCACATTGCCCTTTGTGAAAGCTGAACCAATTTTGATACTTCAGAGAACAGTATCAACGTAAATTGCACCCAGAAGTACATTCCGAGCAATACTTTCCCCACACCCTGCCAGTTACACTCTCGCCTTGCCTGTTGCTGCTGGGACAGCTGTGCAGGCTTTCCTGAGAAATACGATCCTCACGGCTGCATTTTAATGCAAAATGCACCCAGACACCAAAAGATGTAATTCCACTTTTCAGCATTTACAATGTTGGCTTACTGGTTCAAGGTGTTTGGCGTGTTATTGGGGGAAAGGGAGGCAGAAAGGGAAGGAATAGCAGATAATCCTTCTTGTGTGTTCCACCATAATATAAAAATCATGGGTTGTTCTCTGCCTTTCTGCTAACTTCCTGCCTCCCCCACTCCACCTCAGGGGTGAGGGAACAGCTCAAAAGAGAGCAGGCGAGCAAGAAATGGAACATTTCGTGTTGTTTCTTGTGGTTATTCAATATTTATGAAACTTGAAATGGGCGTAAGCAAAGCCGGTGTTCCCGCTGTCTCTGCATGTCTGAGACGGCTCCCCTGCCTCAACTTCCCTGAGCGTGGCAACCTGGAGCTTTGGCTATTCTGGGAGAACAGAATACTTAATGCCAATTGAAGTCCCCAAAGAATTGCTTCACTAAGCTTTGGAGGATCACAATAGAGTCTATTTTCCCCAATGACTATAGGAGTTAGACTTCAAAAAGGGGCATCTTCACCCATACTAACATCTGCGTTTCAAAACGTTCTCCAGATTTCCCTGAAGTTTCGCAGTTTCTGCCAAAGCCAAGACTTTGGTTATGAGAAATTCCGTAGGGAAGCAGAGATGGCAGCTTAGAAAGCATGCTCCCGACATAGGCGTTGCTCTTTTACTCTCTCTTTACTCATTTACTCTCTCTCTCTGAATTCACTTTTAAAAGCTTGTCACTCCACTGCCGATGCACATTCCATTTACACCGAGCTGAATAACAGGTGCTAGTCAATTACATCTCCATACAAGCTGGGGACAACCAACCAACACCTGAAGAAGAGACTTCACCAGTGAGCAGGAACATGTGAGCACACATAGGCATCATATGTATGCATCCACGAATGTCAAAGCAAGTGGAAGCATACATCTAGTGCCTCACTGCTGTTCATCTGCCAAGAGTGGAGACTGAGCCTGCATCTCAACTTGAGGTAAAGCAGTCACGGTGAGGAAAGTGGGTGGGATCGCATTTGGGTTGACCTGGCTTCTTGTCAGTTTCCCCAGGATCGCATTTGGGTTGACCTGGCTTCTTGTCAGTTTCCCCACTGCACGATGACGTATACAAGCCCTCCCACCCCAGGCCTCATTAGCCTCTGCAAAGCCAACCTTGCCCTACTCAGTCAGGGGAGAGTGTGAAACAGACAAAGCCAAGAAGTGAACCTCCCACGTTATCCCTGTGCCCCTTTCCCATTGAACTCAATCCGAACCCTAGGAAAAGAGCAGCTGGAGTATGGAAATGGAAAAAGAAATAAATGGGCTAATTCATAGCATCTGCGCGCCCATCCTTGCAATGTAAGGGAAGTGTAAGGAATTTGAATGGTACTTTTACTTACATGGAATCTGTCTCCTTTACCCCCAACAAACAGGCATAAAATGCGACCTGCTATAAGTGGGTGGTATGATGGGGCTGATTCTCAGGGGAAAGGACTCAACACTCCACACTGACAAGTCCACCTTCTCTAGCATGGCTGCAGATTACTAGAATTTAAGTAAAAAAAAAAAAACGTCACCTCATCTAAAATGTTCAGCTAATAGAGATTCAGTCGCAACCCTAGTCTGTAGTCTAAACTCTGGCTGAACCTAAAGCCAATGTCAAGCTTTACTCTTGGAGTCTCTTGGTGTCCATCTTGCAGCAGCAACTGCTCGGGATACAACCCAAACTCGGGCAAAACGTTACTCTTTGGAGGCCTTTACACTCTACCAAGATCATCTTCACGGAGTTGTGTTTGACAAATCTCTAAAGTTAAACACTTGGCTTGCAGCATGTCAATCCATCCAGACTGAAGCAAGATCCAATCAACAAGTTGTTTTTTTTCCAACAAGTTATTTTTGTTTCCTCGATTGTGATGGGAATATACATAGGGATGGTTTCAAATCAGAAGCATTCATCCTTATATGTATTAAGATCGTTCCAATGTATGTTGCCGTTGGGTGCTCCTAGTAAATTATCGTTCATCGTGCTGCCACGTGGCAGAGTGGGACTGCCCTCCAGCGTGTTCATAGCTGTAAGCTTGATGATAGCGCACCACCCAGTCTTTCTCGCAGGAGTTTCTGGGTAATTTCAGACCATCAACCTTTTGGTCAGCAGCTGGATGCTTGACCATTGGCCACCAGAAGTTCTTTATCATTATAGCAACTTGTCTTTCTTTCTTTAAATAGTTTGACTGGCACTTCATCCAGATGTCATACAATTCTATAATTTAATCAAATCAAGAAGAGTTGTAGAATCATCACCATAATCAAATCTAGAACATTCTCTTCTTCTTTTTGCTCATTGTTATTCACGTAATTATTTTTTATAATGTGACAAAAATATACACAAGAAAACATTCTCCAATTCAGCAACTTCTGCATGTATGATTCAATTCTTGATGTACAACTATTATTCATAGCCTTCCAAATTGTTTCTCCACCATTAACATAAACTCAATGTCCCCTAAGTAAAAATGCTTCTTTCACCCATGATAACCATTGGTCAAGTTTGGTTTCTTTCTTTCCTCCTTTTTTATTTTTTTGGTAATAGTTTTCTTGATATTATATTCACATATCATGTATTTCCATAGTTAATTCACTTTTAAAAAGAGTTGTATATATATATATATATATATATATCATATCAATTTTATTTATCCTTCAAGAATCAACTCATGTATTTCCTCATTCAGGAAGCCTACCTCACACACTCCCTTTTATATAGTTCTCATGCTAGCACTTTGGAGACATAATACCAAGGGAGGAATTATGTTGATTCATGTGTGATATAGCAGCAGTTCAATAAAATAACAAATGAACTTAGGACTCCAGATATAATTATCAATATGTGTAAATATGTACAATTCCCTTTTCAAAACAAGTCGTATTAATTACATTCTCCAGGTTAAGCAGTTTGGCAAAGTCTAGAGCCATGTGTGTTCAAGCTCCCAAATCACTGGTTTCCATTATATCATCTCTCTGTTATGAGTAACTGAGATGAAAGGATTTGGAACAATTAATCACACAATAATTTGTATATTTGAGCTTCATAAATCCTGGCTGCCTACATGTGTGATCATGAAGGGCCAAAGGGACCAGGCTTTAAACACCAAAGGCGGGGAGAAAAGTCATATCCTTGTCAATGAGGGTGGCGCG